TTACAATAACTTTAGCTGCACTTGGAATATTTCTTATCCATAAAGCTTGAAACAGCAGACTTGACTTGGAACATTATATTTGGACGAGGGAAGTGGGGCCACAAGTGTAAGCAAAGTGAATTTTTTATTTCATACATGAATGAATAATTTCGATTTTCGTAGAAAAAACTGTTTAATGTCAAAAAACTATTATTATTCCGAAGCTATCATCGGGGTTGGCGAGCGACAGTGTGCGGAGGATTTAGCCCTCTAGTATTTATATTATTACATATTATAAGAAAGGTAGAACCCCGACCCACCCCAGAGGGGAATACGGAGATTTAAAAGTTAAATTATTACATTAAATAGTTAAACTAAAAACAAAAAAAAAACAGTAAAATTTTGCCAAATGATCAGTTAAAAGTGAATTAGCTGAAAATTAAGGCAATTAAAAGCATGATTTAAAATCAATGGAAGCTAAAAGCGTCGGTGTAAATATCAAGAATTAAAATGATGATAATACTAAGGAAATTAAAGATGAAAATAGAATCACTAAACCAAACGTCAATGAGATTATATTTTAAAAGTAAGTTTTACATCTAGTATTTAAATAGTATAATTAAGTATTATATCTAGTATTTATGTATTATGAGTAATTATGAATTAAAGTCGTAATTTTATGGACATGTCGTCATTTCTCAAATAAAACCTTTTTTTTCTTACTTTTTATCAATTCATTAAAACCCCAAAAAAGGGGAAGAAAAAAAATTTGGTTGGTAGGAAGGCATCCATGCGAGATAAACTTTTTTCGCAAAAAGATCCGACAGAAGTTTAACATCACTCCGAATAAGCATTTACGAACCCAAACAAGAAGTCAGGAACAACAAAACAAAGTAAAAAAGACACAAAATAAAAACTGAATAAACCAAAGCTCATTTCATCGTAATAATTGGATCGAAAAGAAAAACCATGAATGTATAGAGAGGGAGCTTATGTACATGGTACATACTCCCGGAATCAAAAGAAGAAATGAGGTAGGGCCTTTTCCAGGATCTCCCAGATCCTCATTTCGTTCGGAAAGATAGAGAAATATGCAAACCGGAGTGAACAGGCAAAGTAACTGGAAAAAAGGAAAAAGCCCGCTTTACGGGGAAAAAAATGCATTGAAAAAGGAAAAGCCCGCAAAATATTTTTTTTTTCTATTTCGAAAAGTACAAAAAATGGGGGGAGGGGGGTAAGAAATGGGATTCGGTGGGTTGCGACCCTATAAAAACTCCTTACCGACTGATGCAGAAAATTCAAAGCGTTTCAAGTTTATTATTATTATTTTTTTTATTCCAAACCCCTTTTTTTTCCCTTTTTTATTCCCTATCCCATTATGGAGAGCCCTTAACTGAGTGAAAAATTGGCGTATTGACTTGTGCGCCTTTTTGAATCTGACTACCCTCATTACAGGGAATCCCTTCTTGCGGGCGGCCGGGGCTTAGGCTCGGGCGCAGCCCTCCTGGTAGAGGCCTTGTTCTTGGAGGCCCAGGATGTTTGTTCGACACGAAATCTATCAGCCTCCCGTCGCGAAACCCCCTTGCCATCGAAGGGGCTTATTCTGTACCCCTTTTTGCCGATGCAGGGGCTTATTCAAATGCCTTACTCGTGTCAGGTTCGGTCAGATTCACAGGGGCTGACTGATATGGAAAAAAGAACATTTTTTATTTAGATTTTGCGTTATCTATTTATATTCTTCGAAAAATACAAATGCATTCTAAGCTCATATATACCTGCACGCATGCACTTAGCACGTACCAGCCAACTTGGCGAGGTTTTTTCGTGTCTTTTCCCCACATGGCGGCTGATATATATTTTTCTTCCTTGCGCTCATTGTTTACGCAATATTTTTTTTTCCAACGCAATATACATACATTTAGAAAGGCATGTGTTTGTGTGTATAAATGTGTGAAGAGAGAGTGCAACCACTTTTCGCGAAAGCCACATCTAGAGAAGGCTGTATGTTTTCATTTTCGGTGTTTCTGCATTTGAATGACAAAGTAGGGAAAATTTATATATTTTTTTTCCCTTTTCGCCTTCCATTTCTCCGTTTTATTTTTATTGTAATATTTTCTTTTTTCCTTTTTCTGGAGATCTCAAAATTTCTTGGGGGAATGTTTTGCATGAGTTGGTGCAAGATGAAAAAGTTGGAGTGGTAGATGTGTATGGATGATGTAAAAAATGTATGAAAAATCATCTACTAGATGAGAAAATGTGTACGAAAGGGAAGAAAAAAAAAAGAACGTAAAAAATAAAGATGGAAGACACTGAGTAAATAGGGGAAAAGGGAAAATATCACTTTTTGAAACCGAGATATTTTGGATGAGAAGATAGCGATTCTACGTTGAAGGAAGAAAGAAAAAAATTCCCTCGTTTTTATTTTCGTCCATTATGTTAAGCGTCTTATTTTTTCTATGCAACTCTGGAAGAAAAAAAGTGCAGCACTATTTTGTAAATGCAATCGGAAAAGTTGCCGATGCATTTTTATTGTGTAGGACAAGTTTTACCTTTTTTTTCCCCTCTCTCTTTGCGTAAAAGTAAAAGATAGGGTTGGTTGTGAGAGACTATTTTTCCCTTTCTCCGTTTTTTTTCCCTGGCTGTAAGATTGGTGTATTGTTTTGGCAGATGAAGATATATACTCCTACTTTACAAAAGGAATATACCGACTGGAAAAAATTTACATGTGCCTGCATTCGTAAACTTTTTTTTTTCTTTTCTCTTTTGGTGAAAAGAACTTAAATGAGAAAAATGTATCTTTCCATTTTGCAGGTTTAGTTTGAAAAAGTATATACACGATGGTTTACAAATATGCAAAGTTTTTTCCTCCGAGAAAGAAAAACAAAAACATATTTCGTTTAGAGTAAGAACACATTTTTGCTTTCTTCGAGAAAATGTAAGAAAATAGGTTTTTTTTTTTGTCCCACAAAATATCTTTTAAATGTAAAAATTCGAGGGAATATATTTTTGTTTTTGGAAAGAACGTTGAAGCGTATTTATCAAGTATGTTAATTAATTTTTAATCTTACGAGCTTTGTAAGAGATATATTATGGATATATTATTTCATAAAATCTCGACGGCTCAGACGTTAAGGCACTGAATTGTCGTTGTGAAAAAGTGGCGGCTCGAAACCCACCCAAATTCTGATTGATGTGTACCAGCTTGTCTAAAAAGTAAAGGCGGCCTGAGCACAATGCTGACCCCATACCGTTGGTCGTGAAATTCAGGAGCTTTAACCTTCATGACCAGGCCCAGTGTGAGATGGATAGATGACTTAGATATATTGCATTTAATATTTTATTTTATAACCGTCGTGGAACAGCAGACCTAATTTTTTGGATTTAAGACTACTAATGTTCAACTCCGTAGCCTTGTAATTTTGAGCCCAAACCAGAAGACAAGGGGACTCCTGGATCAAGTACTGGGAGAAATTTGCCTACGTGGAGGACTTTCTGATGGAACTAACCCGCATTTGCGTTATATGTGGAGGAAGACCACGAGAACCTCCCACGGTTAGCCTAACGGCAAGGGGACTCTAAACCCATGATCAGTCTACCACTGAGAATATTTCACTTCAGCACTGTGCTCTGCGCGAGCTGGAGGCGGAGTACGTATAGATCAGTTATTGCTGGGATTGAACCCGAGTCACCTCATTAGGAGGCGAACGCTGTATCCCCTGAGTCATCGCGGCTCATGGCCTAGATATAGACTTTTTGGTCTTACAAACTAAAAACTGGAAAACACTAGCAGGAGAAAAGTTAGCCTGGAAAAAAAATTCTTGAGAAATCCAAGGCCCACCCTGGGCTGTCGAGCCATTGCTGAAGATGATGAGGATGATAACCTCTATAACCCTCCCCTAACCCAGAACGAGCTGTTATGGGAATGCTTTACCTATTTGTATCATCTGCCTTTAATGAATGCAAGAAAATAGTTTTTTGTACGGCAAAAAACCTTTAACTGCAAAAGGTTGGTGGAAACGAATTCGTTTTTGTTAAAAACAGTTAGGAATATTTTTCAAGAATATAAATTTTTTTTTCATCTTCCGCACCTCATATATATTAAGGATCTTTTTATTGTTCCGTATTCTCTGACTTTAAAGAAATTGCCTGATGTGCATTTTTAAATTGTTGCTAAAAAAATAGTATATACATGTAGTACAAATAGCAGTAAAACGTTTTCAAGCTTCGTCGCACCACTACTAAGAAGAGTAGGATGCAAACCAGTTTGATTGCCTCATGGAACTGGAAAATGTTTCCTCAAACCATTATTTATCTCCACCCTACTATCCTCTGGCTATCAAAAACTGCTTTGATGTTATTAATCTTTTCCTCTTCCTAAAATTTTGACAACTTTTTTCTTTTCGTTTAAATGTAATTTTTTGTTTTGTTTCGTGAGGTTACCAAATAATCAAAGAAATTAATTTACGCCAACTAATTAAAAAATTTTCTTTCCTTTAATTGAATTTATTGATAAACAGCCGTAAAAAAATTTACGGTTGAACTATTGAGCTGTCAAAAGAGATGGTTTAGTCAATCTGCCTAGCAGTAAAATAGCTTGTGCCAATATTCGCGAATTTTGGCTCAATAAGGGTTCAAAGAGTCGATATTTTTCCGATATAGGCCCTCGATAAGATTGTCCAATTCACCAGACATTTTACTGGCACTTAACAACCCATATCGGCCCTATATAGAATTATCAGATTCATCCGGTGTTTGATAATCATTAACAAGTCAATATAAACCCTATATTGACTCTATATAGGCCGATACTGACACTGCATAGGACAAATATTAAAAAATCTAGACATCCCAATATGGTGCCTCGGAGCATGTTCATACAGGACCCGTGTTGAGCCCAACTGAGGCCAAGATGTAATTGTTGCTAGAGATATTTCATCTACCATAAGTTCAATAAACATTCTTGTATTATTAATTTCGACATTTAAGGAAACAAATTTAAAAAAAAAAAATGAACACCATACCCGTTTGGAAAGGGATAACCAGCAAGTGCGGCCGAATCGTATGGGTAATACATTGAAGCTGCATATGGTAAACTTCTCCAGGCTTCTAGGTTGTCCTTTAGGTCAAAGCCATTAGCCTACAAAAAAAAAACACACACAAATTTATAGTTTAATGTAAATACAGTGTCAAAAAATGCTAAAATGTAAATGAATGGTTTAGTGATCGAGCATATATTAACGTGATACTCCCGGCAGCAGAAATCCTACAGCAATCATCATCTTTCATCTTAGATTTCTTTTTTTTTTAAATTATCACAACACGTGAAGATTATTTTTCTTCTCTAATTTTTTTAACCTCATTACAACACGTGAAGATCATTCTTCATCTCAAATCTTTTTTCTTTATTAAATTATCACAACACGTTAAGATTATTTTCATCTCAGATCTTTTGGTTAACATTATCACAACACGTTAAGATTATTTTTCATCTCAGATTTTTTTGTTATCATTGTCACAACACGTGAAGATTATTTTTCGTCTCAGATCTTTTTGTTAACATTATCACAACGCGTTAAGATTATTTTTCATCTCAGATCTTTTTGTTATCATTGTCACAACACGTGAAGATTATTTTTCGTCTCAGATCTTTTTGTTAACATTATCACAACGCGTTAAGATTATTTTTCATCTCAGATCTTTTTATTAACATTATCACAGCACGTGATGATTATTTTTCATCTCAGATTTTTTTTCAACATTATCATAACACGTTAAGATTATTTTTCTTCTCAGATCTTTTTTTTTTAACATTATCACAACACGTTAAGATTATTTTTCATCTCAGATCTTCTTTTTAACATTATCACAACACGAGAAGATTATTTTTCATCTCACATTTTTTTTAAACTTTATCATAACACGTTAAGATTATTTTTCTTCTGATAACAGCTAATTTTTAGCAACTTTTTTTTTTTTGCTTATAGTTTTTAACTACCTTATAATGCTAATTTTGCCGAAAACATGTTTACAATAAACAGTCTGTGCTAAGGTCGTAGACAAGTTTGAATTTATGAAGATTGCGCTGCAGTTTGACTGCATAAATTCTGCTCCCGGGGTGACAATTAAATAAATTATCGAATTTAAAATTCACAGTTACAGTAAAAGGCTGAAATATATCGACTGTTGTCAATCTCCTCTGAATATCAACACTCACAAAATTGCTTTGGTGTAGTTAAATAACCTTATTTCTCATTTACTCTGGCAAATAGCGACTTCAGACAAATTACGACTGACAATTGAGGACATTGAATAACGACATCATTTACTCTGACAGCTGACGACATTGAATAATGACATATTTTACACTGGCAAATGACAACAAATGGCATTAGACAGAATGATGACATTTTAGCTGTCGACGTTATAAATTAAGACACTCTCCATGAATTTGCACTGGAATACCAATGTTGTTTAATTTTTAATTATATATTTTTACGTCGGATTGCACCATGTACTGATTCATTTTCATGAATATACTTATTTTCTCGCCGGAAAATGTCGACTTTTAATATTCAAAAAATATTTCGGACATCAACTTATGTAAATTCTGACATCAAACGATAACAGTCGACATTCATTGATTTTTGTCTCTCACAGTTGCACTTACGCTTACAGTTATGACTTACGCTCACAAGAAGCTAATTACAAAATTTCTTCTTACCCTTGCAACTATTGATACAACATATAATTTTCTTATCCTTAAAAATCTGAATATTTTCAACTAAATTAACATTTAAAACTTTTCAAATGATTCGACGCATTTGATATCATTGCGTAAGTACTTAAACTGGAAACTATTTAAACTCTGACTCTGATATCAATCTACAAAGCAGCGACAGAATGATGCTAACCTCGTATCAGCCTTCCAAGATTACGTTTTCAACGTACTACCTCTCGTGTTATACAGTTTCGTGATCTCTATAAAGGACACCTGAGAGCCGTGGTTGATCAGGGGATAGAGCGCTCGCCTCCCAATAAGTTGACCCGGGTTCAATCCCAGCGATAGCTAGTCGATTCGAATTTCCCACCCAAATATCTCCGAAATCAGTGCTGAAGTATAATATTCTCAGTGGTAGGTGGATCATGGATATGGTGGTAGATAGAATCCCTTGCCGTCAGGCTAACCTTTGGAAGGTTTTCGTTGCTTCCCTCTCCATGTAACGCAAATGCGGTGTAGTTCCATCAAAAAGTCCTGCATGAAGGCAAACTTCTCCCACTACTTGATCCAGGAGTTCCCTGCAGGATTGTGTTCAAAATTGCAAAGCTACGGAGTTCAACATTAGTAGCCGTAAACCCTAAATTGGGTATACTGTTCAACGACGGTTATAAAATAAAATATAAAGGACACTCATACTACATCTTGAAACTTTCACTACGCTTATTAAAAAGGCCGGCATAGCCTGGTTGGTAGGACACTGGGACCATGTCGAAGAAGTTGTGGGTTCGATCCCCACCGTGCCGAAGGCTCCCCGTGTAGTAAATGGTAACTGATACACGTTAAATCTGTAGAGTCACTAAGTCCTCCATGTTCCCATAACAAATCATTTATTATATATACAGCGGCCTAGGCCAATAGGCCCATACGCCAAATACAATGGATCAACCCCCCCATAACAAATCATACCTCTGTGGGTACTGATCCAGGAGTTTCCTTGCCTTCCCGATTGGTTCAAAATTACAATTTAACGGAGTTGAACATTAGTAGTCGTAAACCCAAACTTGGGTCGACTGTTCAACTACAGTTATAAGATAAAATAAACTTATTAAAGGAATATGAATATATAATGTATAATATCTTTTACTTTGGCATCGCCTGAACGCACCATTATAAGTTCTAATTGGTTTGCAACTGGATGTTCACCAAACTAGGGTCATCAAACATCCAACTAATCGAAGAGAGTAAACAATGACCAGAGAAATTTTCTCACGGATTATTTGATGACTGAAGGGGTCATTTATTTCAGGCACCACCCTTAAATTTACTATCTTCTTACTTTTTTTCAATCAACACTTGAGATCATTATGCGTACTGGTTGGGCGTATACGTCAGAGAAAGACAGTATAATTGAAGTTTAAATCGCTACAAAGGAATGTTGCAGTCGTCTTTTACTTGTGTGGTCTAGTATAAATGAACGAATGAGGCAAATGCAATAGACAGAATAAGTACACATCACCCAACTATGGCCAGAATATGGAATGAATATACAAATTGTAATGAACCAGTTCAAAATAGTAGAGAACACTATTAGCGTCTTTCATTATATCGTTCTTATTTGCATCAACTTTAATGTCGTTGCTAAATAGTGCTAAAATACCTATAAACTTTTACATAAGATCCAAATAATACCTATAAACTTTTACATAAGATGACAAATTAAAAACCTTTTTTAAACTCAAAATCATTATTATTTTAAAAAATACAACTTTTTTTTTCGCACAAAAATAGTATCAAAAAAATAGTATCAAGTCATTCATCGAAATTAAAAAAATATGCATAAATTGAAAAAAAAAACCTAAGCATGTGCCAAAAAATAATCTATTAAAATTTCAGAAAAATCCATTCAACATGGAATTATTATATTTTCGGTATTTAGAACTTTATTATCGTACAAGTTTTATGCAAACCCCTATTCGGCTCAATTTAAATAGTATTGTGTCTTTAAATCTAAGATGGATTAGTTTGCACTATAATAAGGCTCAATTTATCATATTTGATGGAGCAAAGTTGCACAATATTAAGGTTCAACTTAGCGCACTGGTTGCAGCAAATTTGCACGATAATTTGAAACAAATGGGTCCATTGCTTGCAACAAGTCAACTGGTCATTGCTTGCGGAAAGTTTCCACAATAATAAAATTAAACTTGGCTCATTGTAAGCAGTAAATTTATACAATAATAAGATTGAACTTGGCTCATTGTAAGCAGTAAATTTCCACAATAATAAGATTAAACTTGGCTCATTGTAAGCAGTAAATTTATACAATAATAAGATTAAACTTGGTTGAAGCAAATTGTCCCGATATTAATATTCAACTTGGCACATTGTGTGCAGCAAATTTATGTAATATTGTGGTTCAACATGCTTCGGCATTTTTAACAGTGAGCATAATTAGCTTACTAATTAATATTCTAAGTGTTTAATCGAAAGAATAAGCGGAAAGCAACAAGGGATAAACTTTTCAGCATTCATACATCGATGACTAATAAGAAGAACTCAATGAACAAAAGCAAAAAAACCCATTTTTTAACTCTAGACGAAAGTCTTCAAATTTAACATAACATGACTATTGAATCGCTTCAAAAAACACTTCAAAAAGACAGTTCTACCATTTTTTTATTTTTTTTTATCTGCTACTTCTTTGGAATAGGAAATAAATAAATAAAAGGGATACCGAATGAGTAAAGTAAAGAAAGCTAAAGGTTTTACTTTATTTATTTATTTTTTTCATTTTTACTTCTGCGCTAAAATTTATTTTCGTTTGTCTTTGGCCTGTGTGTGTATTATTTACAACCTTTGCCGTAACAAAGGTTTTGTAACAGAAGTAGCCAACAGTATAAGCATTGCTACAATTAACTTTTACAGAGAAAAAAAAAGGTGGTGGGGGAGGTAGGAAAATTGCTCGCGCCGACAACAAAAAAAAAAAAGAACGAAACATCTACTTGTGCCTGTCCACCTATAAAATATTCGCCAAGTTATAGGTTTTTGTTCCGCGGCTGTGAGCATTAAATGTTTGTCTTTTTACGATGCCCCATTGTGAATAAAACAGTTTGGCGAATGTCGTCTTGTGACGCCGAAAGGGAGCGAGACGGTCGAAGTTACATAATTGGTTCCACATTTTGTGAAACTCGCGCATACATTAAATCGTACGTCAAAGCGCTTTGTCGAATGTTATACTTACCCAAAGACACGCCATGTTACATTTTGAACATATTTTAACTTTTAATTTTAATAGTTAACTTTTTAGTTACAAAGTGGTTTTTAGTTACGTAGAAGTTATTCGTTATGGTTTTTTAGTTACATAGTAGTTTTTGGTTAGGGTTTTTTAGTTACATAGTAGTTTTTGGTTAGGGTTTTTT